GTGAGGGTAGATCCTCCTCCTTATGCTTATTTCAGAAGCCAATATCTGACAGACCAAAGCTGTATTTAATGTTCATTTTTCCCTGCTCTAACGAAACAATTCTAAAGCCATCAACCACTTGCTACCAGTGCTGTTAAGCTGAGTCACTTTTATTACCATCCTAAAGGGTAGGTGGAAGATCACATGGCTCTTTACAGCTTCAGTAAAAGGAATTTTATCACAAGCTGCTGTTGCTTTCCCCCCCACTCTGTTCAGCACACATGCTGGCAATGACATCTGATTATTATAGATTCACAATTGGTTTCTGGAAAGGAGCTATTTTGTAACCTTGACAGACACATTGCATTTCCATGAAGAGGGTGGATGTATAGGATTAAAAAAAAGCTTCCAGCACTGGTCCTCTAATGTTGTTGATTTTAACTGGAGGTCCCTTACCCGGAGCTGCTTTCAGAGGCACCAGCAAGAGGTAAGATCTCCATCCCTGGCACTGCACATGCTCTTCTTCAGCAGCGTCTGCTGGGAAGGCAGTGAGGCAGGTCCATACCTCAAGCCCGTCTGGAGAACTGGCATCTGAGCAGAGCAGATGCAGCTGCTGGGACATCAGAGTAAACAAAGTTGTACTTCCTTCACAGTGAAGGAACAATGAGAAGGGGGTCAGAAAGCCTCAGGAAAGGACTACTTCAGGAAGAAGAGCAGGTTCCCCTTGGCAGCCACTGCATCCTGTGCCCTGCTGTTTGCACCTCTGCAGGAGCGCAAACAGGATGAGCACAAAGCAACTCTGAGCACAGGTTGCTCCCTCTGCCACTATCCACATGTGCAGTCCAGCCTGGGCCATGCACACTGACCAACTCCTGTTGGATCCAAATAGACAAGCTGTCTTTCCTTCCCTTCCATCCTGCTAATTGCACCTGCCTCTGCTCTAAGCACATGCAGGAGCCACAGCAACATCTTCAGCACAGGCAGATCACACAGCATCTGCTAGAAAGCAAGCAGTGATGCTCAGGGACAGTCCTCAACTCTGAGTAAGCCCACCAAGTCTTCCCAGTTGCCTCTCCCCCACCAGGGCTGGCTGCAGCCCTGGGTACCAGTGGGTTATCCTGGGACTAGCACCAGTCAATGGCACTCTTCCCACTCAAGGGACCAGCACTTCAGAGTCCAGTGGGAGAGGAGCACTAGGACCAGCCTCACCCTAGGAGGTGCAGAGCAGCTAAAGAGGACAGTTCATGCTGCAGGTGGCCTGCAGTGAGGTTACCAGCTTCCCCAAACCATGGATAAACCCTTGGCCACACAGATATTGGCAGAAGAGTTGGTAGATATGAAGTCTATTTGTTCTTTCTACCAGTCTCTGGCCTTCTTGGACATAAACCTGAAGTGCCTCTGGGTTGGTTGAACTACCAAGTTCAGGATTTGCCCTCCATATGCACAGGGAAGTAGGATGAATTGGCACTGCTTCCTGACCAGCTTTCCTCAAATAGCTGCCTCCCTCAGGGCAAGGCTTGCACCAGTGCATGCAGCATTTTGGATCATCTTTTGCCTTATTATTTCAAGTTGCCAGGTCAACTCAGGCTTAAAGGATGATAACCTGATCCCAGAAAAACAGCCTGCATAATAAAAGGCTGCTTCAACCACACTGCAGCAGGCAAGGTGTCCCCAGAGCTGTGCACCTCGTATGTCAGCACCAGAGGTGAGGATGCCCAGGGCAGACAGAGTCTAGACTCTCCTGCCCTAGGGTATGTGCAAACCTGCCAAGACCATTCTGAGAGTGGTTAACCCTATTACAGCATAAGCTGAGAGTATGTGACATTCATTAGAAGAAAATAGCTTTCTTTGTTCCTAGATCTAACCCCAGAGCAGCAGTCCTGTGGGACAGCACACCATTACTGGTCTCAACAGGCAGGGCTTGCCATCCCAGCAGCACTGCCCAAAGAAAGCCAGCACCTGCTTTCTGCAGCCCTGCTCTTCCCTCTTCCCAGAGAACGATGCAGGTCTCGGATCCCTCCACAGCACAAGGGCCAGGGTTAGAGCACATGCCTTTCCAAAAGGGGGTTGCAAATCAAGGGGCCAGCTCATTCTTCAGCTGCTGCTTTACAGGCAGACCTCTGCCCACAGAGCTTGTGCAGAGCCCTCAGCTGACTTCCACCATCCCCACATAGGCATCCACTATCGAAGTACCAAAGGGATAAAAATGAGAACATCATCCCTTACCCAGTGTGCTGGGTGATTGTAAACCTCACTGTTGCTGTAGCTTGGTATGCACACACGAAAGAGACAGGACTGAGCCTTCTGGCTGGTGGGGAGAGGGTGCTGGATAGTTGCTTAAGCAAGTAAATTCTGTCAGAAATAGTGATCATTTACCAATAAAAGGTAGAAAACATGCTGAGGAAGGTGGGCTGTGCAAACATATCTGTATTTTGTGGAAGGTAGAGGAATTCCACAGCACATGGAGAGCTATTGCAGCATACAGCTCCAGTGGGAGACTCAATTTCTAACAGTTTTAGTTGTCCCAAACATTAATAAATTTAACAGATTAAACCAAATGTCTGAAATGAAGGGGTTTCCCCCATACTGAACTGCTTATTTTGAAGACACTTGTGCTGCAGTGCAGCAGAGCTGATTAGGTATCTTCTTGCTGAGGAAACGATAAAATCAGCCCAGTTACTCTTATTCATGCCACCTATAATAAGCTGAAGCAATTCCTCCCACTCCCATGCCATTCAGACAGATGCAGCCACGTGTACCCAGGTAACTACTGCTGGCATGCCAAGCTTGCTGCAGATGTTTGCTCAGGGACACATGGTGGGACCAAGTAGGGCCAACTCTTCTGAAGTGGTGTCACACCTGGATCCACAGAAGCCAGGGTGTTTGTCTGCACTTCTTCCCAAGAAAGGTCTGGCTAGAACATCAAATGGCTGCTCTGTATGTACTGTGGGGCTTTGTAAAGCAGAACAATGCAGGAACAACAGCAAAAAAGCAGCAGGAGGACAATGGAAACAAGTAAAGGAGACCTGTGCATGTAAACAGGGAAACTAAACATTTTCTCCTCCGTACACATTTCCTGCCTTGTTTCTCTGCATCCTCAAGTACTAGAGCTCTGCCTCCCTGTTTCCCAGCAGCAACAAGCCTGCCCACCAGTAATAATCACAAAACCTAGTATTTAAAAAGGCTGCCAGCTCAGCCTGTTTCCCTCCCCCAGTCAACTGAGCTGTCATTCCCCCACTCAAAGCCTGCCTCAGGTGACTGCCCTTTAGATCTTCACTAGGAACATCAGTTCACTGTGCTGCTGGAGAAGTGATCACATCAGCTTTTTATACCAGCTGCATTCACTAACACCTGACATAAACAAAGTAAAAGCCCCCCATCTCCTATTGCCAAGACTTTTTTAAAGTGTTGTCTGAAACAAAAGATGAATATAATCTTTTTTTTTTGCTTAAAGATATTATACAACGCTTCCTCCACATAGTCAATTGTGAATGTTTTCCCAGTGCCTGTGCAGTCAGTTATTTCATAAGAAGGTGCTTTATATGCTATCGGAGGCAGCATGAGTACTATCCCACATATCCTTGCTGTTGCTATGGAAATCATTCCTCTTTAAGCCAATGTGCAAATGCAGGTCTTATTGCTGAATGCAGAGGCTAAAGGTGTGCGTGAGTCAAACTGTTTGTTGTGTGTTATTCCTCTGCAGCTGAGAGATGGGAGGGGAAGAAGGATCAGTGCTGCAACAAGAGCACCTGCAACACGGCACTGGGGAGAGGTAGAAGGCTAGCGGCAGAGATAGGAAGCCACAGGAAGGCTCTGCCAGGGGACTTCAGCCAAGCACAATTTAGCTGCTCAGCTCACCTGCTCCAGGTGATACAGAAAGGTCAGGATTCAGGCACAGGAGGTGCAAAGGACAGTTCATGGCCTTTCAAAGTATTTGAGGTGAAGAAGGAAGCCACAACACACTAGCACTGATACAAGGCACATAGCATCCTGCCTTGTTTGTAGACCTGTTGCCATTCAAAGCTCAACAATAAAGTTAAGCTTTTGACAAGCGCTTTTGACTTCCTGTTGGCTGCAGAGGGTAAGAAACTAGAGATGCCCAGAGAGCATTGTGAATCCAATGAAGGAACAAGCCAAGAAAAAACACCTACAATAGTCAATTTCTTTCACATCTGCCATGCTCAGCAGCTATCTCAAGCTCTCTTCACTTTCCTTCAGACTAAAGGCTAAATACCACGGTGGATACTGGAGCACTCCCAGCCAAAACAAAGCTTAACATCAGCAGTCACTTTTCAGTAAGGGCCTCTCCAAATATAACCAACAGGAACCTGCTGCCCCCAGGACTCCATCAGGGGAGATGGAGCCTTTAGATGTGAGACCACACACAGCCAGATACAGAGCTCTTCCATGCCCCATTCAGGCACCTCTGCCTATGGGAGCTCCCATGAAAATTGCAGATTCCAGAGCTGACAAGAGCACCCTACACACATTTCCTTCAGAAATCAGCAGAGAAAGGCAGAATCATCAAACGTGGGATTTTTCCTCCTTCCCACTGAAAAAGTATTCCTGCAGAAAATTTGCAAATGGTCTATCACATAATCCAAAGGCTTCTAGTCACATCTCGTCCCTTTTTTCACTACTGCTACAAGAAGCACAGGTGTTATACCTATTCTCTCTACCTACTTACCTTCTGTCCTAGATATTAGGGAATTCTTAAAAGCACAGCAAAAGATTTAGAGTTACATATCCACAGAAATTAAGTTTTTGCATGAATTTTGTTTGGTCAGTCAGCCTTGGGGAAAAGCAGCCAGTTGAAGAACAAAACCCAATCCGTAAAAAAAAATTCATCATCTGCACAACACCACAAATCACACAAGCAATAATCACAAAGCAGAACTCCTTTGGGGCTCCATCATACATGACAATTAAATGCAAAAACAATAAATAACCTACAGCATATTTCTGTAAACAAATCCAGCAGATTTCCCTCAACCAAAACCCAAAATAAAGACAGCACTTACTTCAGTTCAGGCCTAGATACACAACCCCACAACCACCAGCAACCAGATCTATTCTCCTCTGGGTTGTATTCACATAGGTGCTTCCACCCCTCTCCTCTCCTTTTTTATTAGCTACCCACCAGGAGCCCAGCAAGCCAGTTGTCCTTGGCAGAAACACCTGTGAATTCAGCACAGCTTGCTGCCAGAGTGCAGGGGTGGCTGGGATTTAAAACAAAACGATACAGTTAATGGTGCTTTATAAAGTTTGTTTTAACTCTAAATATCAATGAGCTATAATGGGCATTTTTATGCTGCATTCAGGTTTGATCAATAGCATCCTAGCACCGTAATAAACGGTTACACCATTTTATGAAACACAATAGTATGCAAGCAGCAGAGTTTCCAATTACTTTAAGAAGATATGGTATGAATGCTAATAAATTATGTTAAATCATGCTGTCATAGAGAAGTATATTATGATTTATAAGTACCTACCATACGTAAATTATTATCACAATGCTGCAGCCCTGTGGATAGATGTCTTTGTGTCGTGGTATGAACACATATACTATGCCTCAAATGCTTCCAAACATGTGGGTGGGAGATGGAGAATACAAATGACGTAAGGAACTAAAGAGTTTTATTTCAGGAACAGCTTAGTATGCTAGAATATGTTATCATATCATATATTAGAGGTTATGGATTAGAGACTCACTTTCACTGTCTTGTTAGAAATGTTACAAAAGAAGCACAGCAGTGGAATAGTGGAGGAATAGCTAAGAGCAATGTCCAGTTTACATTTATTATAATTAATCACTGTTCCTTTTATTTTTGTATAACGTTATTCATGATGAATCCTATTGTGAGTGTCAATATATGAAATGTAATTGTAAATGGATTTCATTCCAAATTAGCATGATCTATTTAGGATAGTCATAAATACAGATAGAATGCCACCATGAAAGGGGACTGGGAAGGATCCTTCTCATGTACATGAAAGACAAAACATAGATTCCCTATAAACTTAAACTCTTAACAAGTTCCCAGATTTGCAAATACATTTAGGGTTATTTCCCAGTTGCATCATTACGTTTAACCTGCAGGTTTCTTGGTAATCCAGTTCAGAAGGGCAGTTTGTCCCTAAACATCCCTTAAGAATATTTCATACTCTTTTGTAATATGTGTAAGTGAATTTAGAAATCCACATAGAATAAGTCATATATTGGTTTCATTTGTTTTCTGTGATAATTTCTTCAACAACAGAAACCTAGCCCGAAACCCAAGTCAAATATGGAGACAAAATGCTTGCAAACTTTAAGAAATACTAGGCTTTGCAGGGATTTCTTTATTATGTAATGAAAGTTTATATTAATACATGAAGAGGGAATGCATACTTAAGAAAGGCATCAGAGAAAGGGGAAGGAGTGACTGCCTGAAAGTAGGGCTTTTAGTCTTTGCTTGGGACAGAGAGTGCTGTTCTGCTTTAGAAAATACTCATTCAGATATGGTGAAATTCTTCCACCTCTCATCAGCTAGGAACAACTGCACCTTAATTTCTGTGTGTGACTGCTGGGGGACACAAGTTATACATGTCAAATCCTGGAATTAAACTGCAGGGAAGAGGGAGGGCATGTAGGCATTTAAGAACCAGGACCCTGTACATCAGCCTCGGTATGGGTGCATCCTCAAATACCAAAAGCTCAGCTGTGACTGACACACTGGAGTCTGGTGGCTCAGCACCAGGCAAGTGATCAGCCTGTGTCAGGACAAGGCCTTTCCCCTGCTTGACAACAGACATCACAGTGCCTCTTTGCTCTGAGTAATGGGCCTCTATAATGCAGAAGGTCTGGTATCCTGCTAGAAGCCAGCGACATGGCACAAAGGAGACATCAGCAACGGCCAGAACTTCCTGCTCAGTAACAGGCCTGGCATAGGAGCGCTGCTCCAGACGACTTTAGGGTGACAGCACAGTATCCCAACCACAGAGGGGTACACACAGTTGTCCCCATGTGACTTGAAAGATGACACTGTCCACAGTACACAGTTTTAGCTATTAGACATTTGTTATGAATACCTAACAGCTGCAGCTGGGAATAGTTTCTAGTGTGAAGGGCTTGCATTCCCTGTGTGTACTGAGTAGAAGGGAGAGCCAGCAGCTGCTGAGGTTATTAGTCCTCAGCTCAAAGTCTGCAAGTCTCTGACCCTGTATATTTTGCCTGGGCTTAGTTGCTCCGTGGGCATACAGCAGAAGAGGTGATGTCGGACTCGCTCTGGTAGGGAAGGGTGTTCCCAGCTCCATGTTCAGCTCCTCGCAATACCCAAGTTTATCTGTTTCTGACTCCTGCTTCTGATAGTTACTCGATTCCTTTCTCAGTTGGGACTATCATGACTAACAAATATCTAGTTTCATTTTTTCTAAATAGTGTTAGTGCCTATTGCCTTTCATCCCTCATGCTCAAGCCATCTTAATGAGGTAGGAAGTATGCTAAGATTGAAGAGTTTATTACAGTAGTTCAGCCTAGCAGGAATCCAGCAGCTATCTGTCCTTGCAGACTAGTAAGAGGTGACTGAGGAAGTTCATCCACACTTAGCACAAGCAGTACTTGGTGAATTTTTCAGATAAGCAGCTCCCATCTCTCTCCTGTGAGCAGAACTGGTATTAATAGCTAGCTCCTGTCAGCAAAGAAGTCTTGCATCTGAGTTTTTGTGTTTAGCTGGCTTTGGACAAATATTGACCTAAAAGAGTGATGAAAAGCCTCGACACAGAGACAAGGCGTGTACTTCAACCTGGTGATGGTTGTGGTCATTTAATGGCATCCAGCACTGCCTTCCACACTGATGCTCTCACTCGTGTGACAGTTCTTCATGAGCCATCTCACTGGCTGACAGCTCAGAACCAGCAGGATGTAAGTGAGATAAATTTGCTGTGTGCTGGTCAAGGAGAGGGTAAAATGGTTGTTTATCATCTTAAGTGAACTAGGGCAACCAGTGACAAGTCTGGTATAAATATGGCACAACCTACTGGGAAAATGCTGAAGGTAGCGCATATGTGCTTATTAAAAGTCGGTGGAGATTAATTGATGATTTGGGAATTTCTGCTTTTAACTGATGGTGCTCTTACATAGTAACAGAATAGCTCAAAGGTGTCTTTTGTTAGCATCATCTCCATTTTGGACATGCTAGCTTCAGACAGCTAGTTATTAGCCATTTTGAGATAAGAACTGATTATGGGGGAATCTTCAGGCTCATTTACAGTATTTCAGGAGGCAGACAACTCTTTAAGCTATAGTCTTCAACTCATATAAGTTACATACTGAAGAGTCTACTGCCTGGAAAAAGAAAAGGAGAAAATATCCTGAGGTATGGAATATCCAAAAGTAAAACCATTGGCTCATTGTGAAAACTTTGACTTATTTGTTTTAATGAAATTAAAGACAATTAAATTAAATTAAATTTAAGACAATTTAAAATAAGTTAAAATGTCCACTCAAATATATTTGTAAATTCTGGGTTTGAAAATTCTGTTTTAACTTAACTTTTAGACAAACACTTTTTTACTACTCTGACAAGTAAAGAATTACAGCTCCCCCTAATAGAATCACAGAATTGTCTAGGTTGGAAGAGACCTCAAGATCATCGAGTCCAACCTCTGACCTAACACTAACAAGTCCTCCACTAAACCATATCACTAAAGTTCAACATCTAAACATCTTTTAAAGACCTCCAGGGATGGTGACTCCACCACTTCCCCAGGCAGCCCATTCCAATGCCTCACAACCCTCTCAGTAAAGAAGTTCTTCCCAATATCCAACCTAAAACACCCCTGGCACAACTTTAGCCCATTCCCCCTTGTCCTGTCACCAGGCACATGGGAGAATAGACCAATCCCCACCTCGCTACAGCCCCCTTTAATGTACTTTGCAAGTGGCAATTGGCTCCGGGGCCTACAACAATTCGTCATTCTGCATTTATAGCATAATAATGCAAAATAAAACATAGTTTATGCCTGGGATAACACTTCTGTCTCTGATGAATAGTTCATTAATCTTGTTGTATTTCAATAACCCATATTCCATTAATTCACTTACATTTTATAAACTGTCTATATTGACTGAATTTATGGTGCTACACGTGTGCTGTTTTGTCAGAAATTATGCTTGTAAAGGAAGACTGCTAAAGACTTAAAATCTAGCACCTGACAGAACAACAAACTGCTAGCATAAGTTGTTAAAAAAATAAGCACCATCAAAATAAATTTTATTACTGAGCAAGGTGGGGAAGAACATAAATACAGATTTGACTTCAGCCTGGAAGTAAACATGATCATTTAATGATGAATAACGCATGTTTTCAGACCAAAAGTTAATAGAATGTAGCATAATCTTGCCTTAGTCCCAGTTCAACGAATGCTGTGATTACTGAAGTATCTGCTTTAAAGAAAATGCATGCCTAATAGAAAGTACTCATTAAGCTATTAATTGTTGCTTTTTGTTGTTGTTGTTGTTTTTGTTTCCAGTAAAAGATTATTTCTGCTGAGCTTGGATCTTCCATCTACTACATGTCTATTTTCTCAAGCTCTATTATCTTTTCTATGATTAGAAAAATCATCAGATCATGCTCACTGGTGGCCTGGTTCTTCCTCAAAAAAGTGTGCTGAAAGAACAGGATGAGGTTGATAATCCGTAATATGGGGGATGGCATTCGGCCTTTAAATCCAAAAAGGCAGTCTCTAACACAAAGAAAACAGGAAGTCTTTCTGCAAGTCTTGAAGTACATGTCTTTCTCTAGCTCTTAAATTGCTAATGTGACCTGAAGCCACATATAGTTGCTTTCCATGGAGAAACCACCTAAGTGAAAAATGGGTGAAAATCATGTGTCTCATATTTTGGTCTTGACTAAGTCTCCATGCTGTAGCACAGATAAGAAACAGAAACATGTGAGATAAAGGTGCCAGAGATGAAACAGAAGATGAAACAATGCTCCTTTTTTACAATATCTGGACACCACATCTTTTAAATTATATTTATTTATTGTTGGTTCACCTGCGTGATAGCAGTTTTAAGTAACTTCTTAAAGGTAAACTCTGACTTGTCACTGGGATAGTGGAGCATCTTCCCTGGATTTTAGAACATACT